ATAAGCTAGGCTAAATGAAACAATGCAGCTTAATGTCAATTTTACTTTACCATATTTTAATCAAGACTAGGGACTATCTTACCCATCTTTATATACTCCAGGGTTTATATAATGTCTATGCATATTAACCGAATAGTAACTATTTTATGAATAGATACATGATTTAGGTGTTCAGACATATTTAATAAATTAAAATGTATTATGTATTTATCGATTATTTATTAAGTGTCAGGAACCATGTTGGGTACTTTAGCATATTTTTAAAAAGAGAGAGAGACAAATTCCAAAGCCGATTTACAATCAATCAATGGAGAATAGTATAGTGTATGTCTATATATGCTGGGGAATGTTTTGGGAATGTAAAGAAGAGAGATCATATCTTAGAGTGCTAATCAAAGGGTTATGAAAAAAATATAAAAAAGATGAATAATAAAATAGCAATAACTACATATCTATAAGTAATTACTTTAATTGTAAATGGATTAAATGTTTTAATAAAAAGACATAAGGGGCCTGAATGGATAAAAAAACAAGACCCTTACATATGCTGCCTATAAGAGACTCACTTCAGATTGAAAGACACACACAGACTGAAAGTAAAGGGATGGAAAAACATATTCTGTGAAATGGAAATGAAAAAAAAAAAGTCTGGGGTAGTAATAGTTATATCAGACAAAAGAGACTTTAAAACAAAGGTTAAAACAGGAAACAAAGAAAAACCCAGTAATCCCACTTCTGGGTGTTTATCTGAAAAAATCTAAAACACTACTTCGAAGGGACATGTACATCTATATATTCATTGCAGCATTATTTACAATAGCCAAGATATGGAAGCAACCTGAGTGTCCATCAATAAATAGATGGATAAAGAAGAGATGGAACATATATATAATGAAATATCACTAGGCCATAAAAAAATGAAATTTTGCCATCTGCAGCAACATGAAATATACCTAGAGGGTATTGTGCTGAGTAGAGTAAGTCAAATAGAAAAAGACAAATGCCATATGATTGTACTTATATGTGGAATCTAAAGAACAAAATAAACAAACAAAACAGAAATAAACTCATAAATATAGAGAACATTTCGATGGTCGCCAAGTGGGAAAAAAGTTGGGTGAAAAAAGTAAAGGGATTAAGAAGTAGAAATTGGTAGTACAAAATAGTCATGGGGACATAAAGTATAGCATAAGGAATATAATCAATAACATTGTAATAACTACATATGGTGTCAGATGGGTACTAGATTTATTGGATTAATCACTTCATAAGATATATAAAGATCTAATCAACCTATTGTACATCTGCAGCTAATATAATATTGTATGTCAACTGTAATTGAAAAATAAAAAAAAAATTAAAAATAAAAAAATATTTAATCAAAGAGAGTTCTTTAGGCAAAAATAAAAGATACTAGGCAGCAACAAGAATTCATAGGAAGAAATAAAGAGCATCAGTAAAAGTAACTACATAGGTCAATATAAAAGAAATGTATTTTTATTTTTTCGTACTGTCACATTTTGTTTGTATTTGTCTGTACTTTTTATTGCTATCTACTTTTCCCCTGTCTGATTTAAGAGACTTCTATATAAAGCAATAAGAATAAATATGTTTTGGGGGGTACAGTCAAGATGGCGTAGAAGGTAGATGCTGTGCTCGCCTGCTCTCCTGACCACATCAAAATTACAACGAAATTACAGCACAGCTACCACTGGGAGTTGCATGATCTGTCTGAACAGAAGTCCTACAACTTGGGGACATACATAAGAGGTCACCTCGAAACTAGTAGAAAGGGTAGAGATGCAAAACAAGCTGGTCCCACAACTGAGTGTGGAGGTCAAGAACCAAGAGGGTTATCTTAGCTGCAAGCCCCTTCCCTCCGGCTCCACACTAGGCTCTCTAGCCCAGGGTTTCAGTGCCAGAAAGAGAAGTCCCCATAACCTATGGCTGTGAAAACCCACAGAGGTTGTGGCTGAGTGAGACAGAAGGCTGCAGGAGTCTCAGACTTCTCCTCTTAAAGGGCTAGATGATGGACTTACTAGATGATGGACTTACTCTGGGCTCCAGCAATTTGTTATCAGTACCGTAGAGGTCATCAGCTGCTGGAAGAGTGCCAGGGACAGGCAGGGAGGAACTGAGTTGTCTGGCTTCAGGGCAAGGGCTGGAGGGGTGGTTTTATCTCAGACAGAAGCATTGGCAGAATCCATTGTTACTTTGTTGAGCCCTCCCCACTCCCAGAGTGCTAATGCAGGCAGCTGCCATATCTGAGTCTCCACCTGCCTGGTTATCACAGGTCACTCCACTCAGGAGAATCTCTGAGACTATACCTTTTGCAACATGCGGGCCCACCCAAGCTGCCTCCAGTGTTTTTTTCCCATACAAATGGCCTGTTGTGGCTCATGCTGTGGGCTTTCCTAAAATTTCTCAAAGGCTCACAAAACCCAAAGCAGCAGCATCTGGCCTCAGTGTGCCCCATACCTCTTGCTGACGAGCCCCAAGCTTTGCACTAGCGGCAGCCAGACTTGGTTCTTGGCTTGGCCTCTCAAGGCAACTATAAGCCCAGCTGGGTAGCAGCCAACTGTGGATTGCTTAGTGACCCTTATCTGGTGGCCCTGGAAGTGCACAAGCTGTGGTTAAACTTGGCCTGCAGTTGGGCCCTTCTCAGGAGGCTCTTAAGCTGGCATACATACCAAGTGGCCTCTTTTGATGGGCCCTGGAGCCAGAACACACCCAGGGCTGGATTTGATGAGGAAACACCCAAAGGGTAGACTGGGCTTCCACCAGAGATCTGCTACAGTGAATCCTACTCCTTAGGGTCACTCCTCACGAGTCAGTCCTCACAACCAATCAACCCAAAGGTCAATTCCTCCCATCAATGTACAAACAGCAACCAAAGCTCAACTACAACAGAAGGGCACACACAACCCACGCAAAAGACATACCTTGAGCACTTGACTCAGGAGACCGGGGAAGACTGCAAGACAGGACATCTACTGCATAAGGCCACTCTACTAAGATCAGGAGACTTAGGAGCCCTACCTAATACGTAGAAACAAACACAAGAAGGCAGTCAAAATGGGGAGACAAAGAAACATGTCCACATGAAAGAACAGAACAAAGTTCCAGAAAAAGAAACAAAATGGAGACCACCTACCAGATGCAGAATTCAAAACAGTGGTTATAAGAATGCTCAATGAACTTAGAGGAAGAGTAGATAAACTCACTGAGAACTTTAACAAAGAGATAGAAAACATAAAAATGGAGATGGAAAATATAAAAGGGAATCAGATAGAAATTAATACAATACCAGAGATGAAAAGTAAGTTAGAAGGAATCAACATATTGAATAAAATGGAGGATCAAGTCAGTGATTTGATGGGGTAGTGGAGGAGACCCAATCAGAATAGCAACAAGAAAAAAGAATCCAAAAATAAGAGGATAGTTTAAGGGGCCTCTGGGATAACATCAAGCATAATAACATTCTCATCAAAGGGTACCAGAGGAGAAGAGAGAGAGAAAGAAATTGAAACCTATTTGAAGAAACACTGATGGAAAACTTCCCTAACCTGGTGAAGGAAATAGACATACAAGCCCAGAAAGCACAGAGTCCTGAACAAAATAAACCCAAAGTGGCCCACACTAAGACACATGATAATTAAAATGCCAAAGTTTAAAGACAAAGAGGGAATCTTAAAAGCAGCAAGAGAAAAGCAATTAGTTATCCACAAGGGAGCTCCTGTAAGACTGTCAGCTGATTTCTGGATGGAAACTTTGCAGGCCAGAAGGGATTGGCACAGAATATTCAAAATGATGAAATGCAAGGACCTACAACCAAGATGACTCTACCCAGAAGAGCTATCACTTAGAATGGAAGGACAGATGAAGAGCTTCCCAGACAAGAAAAAGCAAAGGAGTTCATCATCTCCCAAACAAAATTATAGGAAATTTTGGAGGGACTTCTTTAAGAAGAAAAAAACATGTATCAAAAATATGAATAATAAAATGGCAATAACTTCATATCTATCAACAAGTACTTTGAATGAAAAATAATTAAATGCTCCATTCAAAAGATGTAGGATGGCTGAATAGAGAAGAAGAAAAGACCCTTACGTATGCTGCCTAAAAGAGACTCACTTCAGATTGAAAGGCACACACAGACTGAAAGTAAAGAGATAGAAAAAGATATTTCATGAAAATGGAAATGAAAAAGAAAAGGCTAGGGTAGCAATAGTTATATCAGCCATAATAAACTTTAAAACAAAGGCTATAACAAGAGACAAAGAAAGGCTCCGTAATCCCACTTCTGGGTATTTATCTGAAGAAACCCAAAATACTACTTTGAAGGAACATGTGCATCCATATATTCATTGCAGAATTATTTATAATAGCCTAGGAATGGAGGCAACCTGGGTGTCCATAAATGGATGAGTGGATAAAGAAGAGGTGGTACATATATACAATGGAATATTACTCAGCCATAAAATAAGATGGAAATATTGCCATTTGAAACAACATGGATGAACCTAGAGGGTATTGTGTTGAGTGAAATTGGTCAGACAGAGAAAAACAAATATCATATGATTTCACTTACATGTGGAATCTAAAGAATAAAATAAGCAAATCAAATGGAAACAAACTCACAGATATAGAGAATATTTAGAGCATTAGCAGATGGGAAGGGAGTGGGGAAGGTGGGTGAAAAGGGGGAAGGAGTTAAGAAGTACAAATCGGTAGTTTCAAAATAGTCATGGAGATGTAAAGGAATATCACCAATAATATTGTAATAACTATGTACGGTGTCAGATAGGTACTAGATTTATTGGAGTGATCACTTTGTAAGTTATATAAATATCTAATCACTATGTTGTACACCTAGAACTAATGTAATATCGTATACCAATAATAACTGAAAAATTAAAAAATGAAATTACATAGATGTGATTCATTTTAAAATTGTCCTGTTTTTATGACTTTAAATATTTTATATAACAGTGTATCACCTGATTCACTGATGCATTTTTTGCCAAGCAATTTGTTAACAGTACCGTAGAGGTCATCAGAGCAGAGACAATTTTTAAACTGGAAATTCCTTTCCACTAAGGCTTGGATGCTCAGGTTGCAGCTTGATGAATCCTTCATCTTGCAGGGATTACCTGGATTTCAAAGGGCAAACATATAATACTCCAGATATTAATTTGAATATACCCCAAATATACCCAAAATTCTTTTAACAGATTAATCTAAGTAATTTATTATTATAGTAAGATTTTCTGGGGTCACTGTAGGATGTTCGTGTAAGGGACATTTTAAGCAAAAATATCTATTTTTACTGTTGTTTTCTCCCAATTTTACCTTTTAAAGTAAATTAACTTTTTTCAAGTTTTAAAATAATTTGGACCCACTTAGAAAGAATGCCAATTTTTGCTCTTCAATAATAATCAATGCTGCCTTTACATGAGGTGACCAGAAAGTTCTGCAATCTTAGTTTTTTTATCAGTTTAGCTATTTTATTAGATCTATTGTTTTAAGCTGATATTTTATTTTACATCTCATTCTAGGATGATAACAAGAGATGTACAGGTAGCTCTAAAATTATCATGGGAAATGAAGTTGTCCTGACACTTAGAAAGCACACAGTAAATATTATTATTTACTTATTTATTTTAGGCAAGGCAACTCTTGGTTGAATTCACAGATTGCAAGGACCTTGTCAGCTTACAATCCCTTATTTTTTATTTTTTACGCCTATAGCACCCAGTCTTCCTAAGTGGTCTCCCATCCAAGTACTAACCAGGCCTGATCCTGCTTAGCTTCCAAGACCAGATGGGATCAGGCTTGTTCAGGGTGGCATGGCCATAGTCTACTTTAATTTAAAAAGCCATATGTATATACCCAATGATTTTTTCCCATTTTTCTGAATAAAATTAATTGAGATAATTTCATTTGTGTATTTGAGAATATTTCTATTTCAGCTTTATGCATAAGATAAATATGCAAATGCTGCAATTCATTGCGAATGGTTTGCTTTTTGCATACTGAAATAAATATGCTTTAATTCATGACACCTGAATATGATATTTTAAATTGCCACACAAAATGTAACAAGGAGCTTCATCATCAAAACAACAGATTTTTTTTTGTCATTGTCCTCTATTTCCATCTTAAATTTACTGAGTTACTTTGAGCAAATTATGCCTTTGAAATTCTTTTCTTGAACAGTAATGAGAATGTTGAATTAGAGAGCTATAACTTTCTTTGGAGTATATAAATTACATGTACTCTCTTCAAGGGAGGAGAAGAGAAGAAAATCTCTCTCCTCCTATGTAATTCCTGAGGTCGTGAGGTTGGTCAGGAGCTCTGCTGGTGGAAACTGTGAACACTGACATTGTCTGAGCTACAGTTTTCTGCCTCTTAACCCAACACACTCAACCATATATCTTTCGGTAGGTAAAGTAAGCACATGATGATGGGCAAGAGTCATGAGCAATACAGAATTTACTCTGTAGAATGGATGGAGAAACAAAGTGAGTCATAAAAGAATATATTTTCATTTTCCATTTTGGATTTCTTTTACTGAATATTCCAGGAAATTTATTCAGGATTTTATAGTATTATAATCTTTGTTATACATGATGATAAAATTATCATTACATTAGAATACTATTTTTTTAAAGTTTTGTCATAATAGCACTAGGTCAATGTCTCGCTATATAATCAGTTTATCTAATTTTAGTAAATAAAGTCTTCCTATGATACTCTCATTTAATATTTATTCAGCTATTTAAAATGTTTAGAACATATTTCTTTTTCTTTTCAACAAGTAACAGTGACTCTCTAATCTTTACATTCTCTACACTTTGGGCCTTCCCTCACATGTTTGAAATGTAGAACAAGTTTAAAATAATAATATATTTTAACTTGTTTTGACAAAGTTGGAATGGAAATAGTGTATATGTTGTGAGAATATAAAATGAATATTATACACATACAAATAAATAACAATACTTTTGATCATCACAAATGTTATTTTTCCCTATTTTACCACTTATGTATTAACAAATAAACAAAAAAAATTTTATTTGAAAAATTATTGCCACACTTCTGAGAAGCATACATATAATTATAACATTATACATAGTGAAATAAGTAAAAAATAAAATAAATATAAAAAGCTGAAATCTTGCATAAAGCTACTTGCAGTGCCAATGCATTAGGGTCTTGGAGTCATTTAAGAATACTCTTTTGTAACTAAATTCACTAATAAGCAAATTAAAGTGAAGTTCTTGATTATCAAGTTTGAGTAAAGTATTAAGAACAAAACTAACTTAGTTCCTCAGATAAGGAAAGAAAATATCAAATCTTATTTTTATCTGAATAAAAGGAAACCATTTGAATGTATTTTAAACAACTTGTTTTACCTGAAACATTGCAGGCAACTTCCATTATTCTCCATGCATGTTTACATCCATTTGCATCACTTAAGCATTGCTCTCTTAAATATGTGCAATTAATGGTTTGGGAAGTAGATTCATTTTCTGAGCATAGCCCAATAGCTGAATAACAAAAGAACAAAAACAACTTTGCAGCATTACAATATGGCAGTTATTTACCTCAAAACTAAGTTATTAATGATAAAGAGCAGAATTATAAAAAATAAAATATGACAAGATCATTACAAGACTGGAATAAATCTTAATCTCCCCTCTAGCTATAGATCTATATTTCCCCTATATAAGATTCTTAAATAATCTGTATTTGTTCTCTTCCATTCTTACTGCTTATTTATTCCTCAACTTACAATTAATTTTTATGACTATTGTTTTGTTGAAACTGCTCTTAAAAATACTTTAATGAAACCGAGGATATTTATGACTTTGATTAAGCTTAGTTTTAAATCCTAGATCTAGAAATCATGTCCCTTTTTCTCTCTCTCTATACCCCTCAGAGACCTAGCCTTTCCCCTGAATAATCAGCAACCCCAGAGGCAGCAGGAGACAGTAGCCTAAACCTGACTAATGGTCACAGGTCTGGACCTCTGGCAGGCTAAAGATGACATCTTGACCTCAATTCCCCAGCTCTACCATGAAATGACTCCCTGGCTACTTTCCTGTGAGACCAGACAGAGAGATTCCATTAAAGACCTCAAAATTGTCCCCAAGACTCGAAGAAATAATTGATTACCCTTACCAATTACCCTTACCTCCTATCAATCAGCTCCCAGCACAACTCCAAACCCCTAACCCACAGTGTCCAGTGATTTCGCCTCTATAATTTGCATCCTACAAACTATTGTGGAGTTAGGGCTTTTGACCATCAGCTTCCTGTTCTCATTCATCAATAAAATAGCCACTATTTCTCCACTGCGGTTCTCGATATTTAGTGTTTGGCTCTGCTAGTGTCGAATGGATGAACTCTTTCTAACACTAATCGTTCTCTAACACTAATCATTTTCATAACAACAAATTTAATAGTTTTAAGACTTCATCTTGCCTACTTTTATCATTGGGCTTTTTGTTGTCATTTCGTTCTTAAAATTCCCTCTTCCTTTAGTAACCCTCTTCTAATTCTCTTGATACTCATTTATTTGATATTTTCTGTCCATAGGCAGAATCCTTCCCAGGATCCTCTTACTCTTCTGTCAACGTACATTTTTAGCTTAGGTTCTGTCCTCACACTTTTCTCATTCTCATTTTATGCATTCTCTGTGGTCAATTACATCTATTCTCACAGATTTAACTAAAATCTCTAGACTGATTATTTTCAAATGTTTAATTCAATTTCATTATTTTCTAATATTCCAGTTATAGATGTTGTTATCCTCTCCACCTAAATGTTCCAAACACACTTCCAGATTATAATACCTTAATATTGTCCTCTTCATTATCGCTCCCTGGTAAACATCCCTATTCCGTCAGTAATTCCACCATTCACAAAAACACGCAAAGTAGAAATCTTGGATTTATGATAGACTCCTTTATATCCTCAACTTCATACTTTCATATCCGTTCTTGCATATTTCATCGACTCTCATTTTGAATGTTTGACCAACTGATTAGTTAGTCAGTCTGTCTCCAGTATCATCTATTCAGGTAGGTTCTTTACATGCCCTAATCTGTCTAATACACCATTCTATTCCTGTTATTTCTCTGCTTTATCCCTTGGATGATCCCCATAGAATGACTCATTCTTCATTGTATGCAATCTGGAGGTTCTCAAGCAGCATTTATAGTTTCCCAAATGCTTGTACCTCTGAGAATTTACTAGATGGTCACTGGTAGGTACTCCTTTCCCCACTCTGCCTTTCTGGAATAACTTTTATTTTTTTGTCCTTCAAGACTCAACACAATAATTACCTATTTTATGAAAACCTTTTCTGAATTCATACTTCTTTTTCCTATAGCCAAATTAAATTTAATACCCTTCATCTCTTTCACTACCATTTTAGGAATTCTTCAACGATAGCATTTACTGCTTTGTAGTAAAATTATGTATTTTTGTGCTTGTTTCCACCACTGGGTTTTAGGGTTTTACTGGGCAGGAATTAGGAGTAATTCATAATTATATCCTCATTGTAAATACAATGATGCATTGTAGATATTCAATAAATGTATGTTGACTTACACCAATTTGAATAGTTGTTTATAGATGAGTTATATATAAATAACTGATAATGTTCAATTAAAATAACACCTTCCAGGTATTTACAAGTTATTTTGGGTAGAAGAGAAAAAGTTCCAATAAGTTTTCTAGAAATATCAAAAATATAGCAATGTTAATTTAGTCTATTGTATAAATAACTCAAACTGATTCTATAAGCATGAGAATTGACACTTGCTTAATCAATCCATGGAATAATATGGGAATTATAATTGAGTTATAGAGACAGTGTGTTAACTATAATTAAGAAATGTTTAACTATATCTTAATCAAAGCCAAATTATTTGAATTTTTAAAAAATAATATTAATTATGAATCACCTGTGACAATATAGAGCTATAGGTTTCAAGTAAAGCTTTAAAATCTTTTCTTTATCTTACCTCTTTCCAAACCTCTTCTCCTAAGGAAAATCCAAGACAACTGATTAGTTCATATGTACTATTTGCTGGGTCACTGCATTTGGAGGTTAGGCCCATGGTTGTGTCTTGGTCACATTTTTCTTGTTGAGGGCTAGAGTGAAAATTGATATATCAGCTTCCTGGTTTTTCATGTGTTCATGGATAACTTCATCTAGCCAAGCTCCTGACCTAGGTTAGCAAGCCTAGAGAAAGAGAAATGAATCTCTTTGATTATGGCCCAAGGTTACTTGTTTAAATCCAGCTTGCCAAACACCCTGAGACTCAATTTATAAGAGATTGGAATTTTATTTGCCATTGATCATTATATCTTGTGACTAGCTTCCTCATGAAACTTACAGGTGATAATCTCCTGGATACATCATCGAAACCTCACCAGTGCCTCAGTGTAATGATCATTAATGAATTCTACTTACTATTTTTCCATAATTTTTTTCACTTTCTTTTATTTTTAAATTTTTATGTTAAATAATTCATTTGATTATTTATTTTACACGATTTTTAACACTTTCCACTCAGATGAAATTCTGAATCAACCAGGAAAATCATCTCAATTGTTTTACCTCTCAAAATGCAAACTATCTTTAGCTTTCCAAAATATATTCATTCCTAACTATGATTTGTGGCTATGTACTTAATCCAAGAGTTTTCAAGGATTATCTTGAAATGTTCAGTGAAAAACAGTTTTTATTTTTAAAATAAATAAGATGGAGAACGTTGCACATTATGTTCACCCTCTTAAAGATTAAAAGGCTCATTATAATATTAAATCCTCTGTTTTAAAAATTCAGCATGTCCCACATTTCTTTGGACTTTCTCATATCACAATACCTATTTAGATAACATTAAACAAGTATTTTGAAGAATGCACTATGAAAAATATTGGTTAAAACTATCAAATAGCAAAATTTTGACACTACAAGTGTTGGAAATTATTTCTCTCCTTCATCCAATCTAGTGTCAAGGTTAATTTAGAATTAAAAGATGAAAACAGGAGGCGATCATTACCTTTTCAACTGGGACCATAATGAGGTTATAATATATTCTGTGCATTCAGTTATATTGCTGCCTGATCTATAAAAATCGAAGTCTCCTAGATTTCTCTTTATAATACAGGATAGAAATAAGAAAATGTTATTAGAAATAAACACAAGAAGTGCAGTTTTGGAATACTGAATAACTACTATTTAAACCAAAAGAAAAAAACCTAAAAATACATAAAAGATCTCTTTTCTTCTTGCCTTGATTTTCTTTTATTTGATTTATTTTAACTTTTTATGTTCAGCATAATTTAAAATAACATTCTTTGTTTTCTTGCTCACAATTATGTCTTTCTTTATCAATATTTATTAGTGTGGAGTAAGCAGAAAATATATTGGCTTTGGTTTAATGAGTGGATTATTAACATTAAACTGCAATCATAAATATCCCTTTTTTTAATTCAATTTATAAATTCTACTAAATACTAAAAAAAATAATAGCTTCTCAAAAATATATATAACAAGTAGATCTTCATGAATTCTACTTTAAGTATAAATAAATTCTTTTAAACCAACGTCTTACAATAAATTCATACTACCCAATACAAGAGGGATAAATCTACATTTTATCTCTAGGTCACAGAAACTAAAATGAAATGTGAAGCATTCGATATGGTATTGTTTTATTCTACTAAATGGCTTCTACTTTTTAAATATTAATGCCTTAAAATTAGGGGAACTGAATGTTTTAAATTAATCTCATTTTAATTTAATTTCAAAGAAAAACAGATAATAATTGGAAATTTGTCATCTTATAACTTGTAAATAGATACTGGAAGGTTTCATTTCTAAAAAGTCCTAGTATTTATGTGAGTTCCATAAATTCTAATAAATAACTCAAAGAAATTGGATTATTCTATACAATAAAACAGAAGCAATCTGAATAGTTAATGTAATTTCTGCGTTGTGCATTTTCTATAGAGTTATACATGAGTAAAAGTAAGTGAACATTTTTGCAAAAGCAATAAGCCATGTTAAAAAGTATAAAATTGTAAGTGATAGTTCATATTATAAGCCCCTATTAGTTTAATCAACAGTTAAGTTAGGACAGTATTAGGTTCATGAAGCATTGGTGGTGTGAATTCAGATAAAACAGAAGCATAATTTACTTACCAAGGAAAATGAAGATTATCATGCTGGACAACTTAGGTTGTTCATTTGAAAGAAAGGCAGATGTATTTACTCCAATCAGCTTCTTAACAGTAACTGTCCAGAATAAGGCTTCAGCTTCTGCTCTTGGTTCCTAAAAGCATTACTGATTCAAGTCAACTTCCTATGTCACTATTTCCTCACCAATCTTTCCTGAGCTGTGAACTTTCCTAATTATATTCAAATTCAATTATTTTGTTCTGAGTGTACTGATCTTGTATATTATGCTTCCAAGAAAGCCCACAAGCCAGACACTAAGATGATACATACCCTGCACATTCATGAAAAAAAAGTCTTTTTCTTTTTTTCTTCAATTAGAATACTAAATTCTATAAAATATTGCAAACTATAACACAAAATTTTCCTAGACACTCGAGTATACTCATTTTCCACTTCATTATTTAGCCTCATTTAAGGCAATTTTATGTCATTTGAGAATATACAAAAGGAGAAAAGATGTAAACGCAACCCAGGAAAATGTATGGGGAATTCAAGTTCCACTGGTATCAAACTGGTGTACTTTATCTTCTCAAATAAGAAACGTTCTCTATATGTGCCAAAAATCTCAGTATATTTAAAAGTTGTGCTGCCTCAGCTACGGTTCCTCAAACTCTCCAAATACAGTGATGCATAAGAAATGATTCTTCGTGATGATGCAGAAACTCTCTGTTCCACTGGAAAGATAATCATCCACTATGCTCATCACTTGACAACTATTTTGCTCCTAGCATCAGTGAGAGGCATTGCTATGGTCTAAATATTTGTGCCCTCTCCTCTCCAAAAAATTTTATATGTTGAAATTCTAAATCCCAAAGCTGATGGTATGAGTAAGTAAAGATTTTGGGAGGTGCTTAAGTCATTAGGGTAGAACCCTCATGAATAAAATTTGTGATTTAAAAAAGAGGCTCTGGAGAGATTCTTTGCTTATTCCACCTTGTGAAGAGACAGCAAGAAAGTCCCAGCTCTGAACTAGGAAGAGGGCCCTCATGAGAATGTGACCATGCTGGTGCCTTGATATAGGACTTCAGTTTCCAGAACGGTTTATGTTTCCCAGTCTGTAGTATTTTGTTACAGCAACCTGAATGGACTAGATAGGCATTATTTATCTTGTCTTATTTTGATTGTGTTCTTCTTCACAAGAACCCAGAGCACATCATCTCCCTTGGGACATCTTGAGGCTTATACTTTTAAAACACTCTGAGACTTTCCTATGTGGATGCTTAGAAATACAAAATACTGCTTTGGCAAGAAATTAGGAACAGATAGGTAAGGATAACCAACTATCAAGATGAGAGAGGAGCATTTCTATGTACACAGTTATACAATGGAAGAGTTGCTGATTGCAATTGACCATGTTTAATTTATACTAGAAGAGAAGTTATATTTTGTTTTTAAAATACATAATAAAAGAAAATAATCTCTGGAGTCCATTAATTGAAAATTGTTACAAAGTTTTTCACTATAGATATTGGTAAATGCCTTTACATTGGAAGTTATACAGATTTACTCCTCAGTGAAATAGGCTAATTTTACCAATGATCATTATAAATATTAAATATGTATATGGGGCTTATATTAGAGAAATCAACAAATATACCCACTGACTTAATTATTATTTAACAAAAGAATTATGTCATAAAATTAATCAATTATTTCCTTTTAAAGGCACCAAGTCACTAAATTTGTATTATAAATTGTACCAAGATAATTATTCTTTTTGATATAAGCCAACTAAAAATTGTTTAAGCTGGAGAGGGATTTGGTGGCTCTGTTGGTTCTCAAACGGGCTCCTGTATGTGGAGAGCAAGGAGAGACAGAAAAGAGGCAGCGCACTCCAAACTGGTAGGCGGCAGGTTTAATTTGCAAGGGAACTTACATATGATGATGTTTGTCTTGGGTGGTTATAAAGTTATTAGATCTCTGCACCTACCAGAATCTTAAAAGTTTATATAGAGGCCTTACTGGGTTCAGTCACATGTTCAGTCCAGGTAGTTTCAACAATACATTACTCTCTCATGGTTATATCTTTGAAATGACTTCCACTGTGGGAACAGTGAACAGAACATACATTCCAAAGTCAGGAGAGGGAATGAGGAGCCTCCAATTGCTGAGTCTAGCTTGGGGATCATAGGCAGTCATATCCTCTTTTTGACCTCCTCTAACAGGCTCCCAGGTTGAAGAATCCAGGGTAGAATTGATTTCAGGCATGTTTTAAACCTTGTCTTCTAGGCCTGAGGGTTTTTCCCCTATGAGCTACTTTCTTTAGTGTCAGCTTCATTCTTTGGCAGCTTCTCTGTTCTTGGTAGGAAGATGGTTGTCAAGCCCTGGGTATGTGTTCTTCTCTCTTAAAAACCAGAGTAGGAAGTGTGACTCTTTTCCTATTAAAATTCTAGAACTGAGCCACATTAGTTTTACATGTGTCCCATGACCATCAATCTTGCCAAGTGGAGCTGACTCGATTTGGTGTCCAGCATCATAGATGTAGATGGAGTTGGCTCTATTCAAACCACAGGAACTGATGGTGGGAGTAGAGTGCATCACCAAGGAAAATCATGATATCAGAAGAAGCACGTGAAAGGATGCTTTGAGAGGTGGGAAAAAAATACTCAGTAAAGCATCTAAATGGTGAATTTATGTAGAGCTACTATAAGCAAAATAAACTGATCAAACAAGGACAAATAATACCAAAACGATTTCTTTTTCAAGGGAGGTGATATAGACTTTGTAGAGTGCAGTGATACATAGAACCTGAATATAAGACACAGGCGCTAATCTTTGCCAAAAAAGTATAGCTGCTGAGGTCTATTGCTTACAGGTATAGAAAGCATCTGTGGTCCTATATCTGTTTATCCCAAAGTAATAATTATCAGATGTGTCACCGTCTAAAGCAGGGAATATTTAGCATTTTTGTGTGCCATCAGCACCTTTTCTCCATAGATCTCTCTCTTTAGAATATTTTTAAAGGCATGTTTTTTTAAAAAAAAAGGATTACAAAGGAAATAAACCATATTGAAAAATATATCTCAAAATATTTTTAAAAACTAATTTGTGGTAAAGTAATATATGTGCTTCTTTATTACAGGAGTAACTATCAAGATTCAGGTGGGTCTAATAATACTATAATTTCAGTGTAGTGATTACCGTAAATGCTAATTTGGGATATTTTCCATAAATGCAGTGTCTTTTAAAAATATCTGTAATTTCTATTGATGACAAGAAGTACTGAATTTCAATAAAAATTTAGTAAAAATAGAACACAATTTTGCTCCAAATTTATAGAAACTCCAGATTAATAAACCTTATTTCTATGTCAACAAAAACAGTACTTTCAACTCAATTAATTACTCGGATGGAAAGCACCTATTGAATCAGAATGTTTTAGAGGTGAAGGGAAATGACAAAATCATCAGTTTCAGTATTTCACAATGATAATCAGTGTAGGATTTTAAAATATATGTTATGTTTTGAAAAAATGTTATATATAAATAAATAAAACAAGAGAAAACAGAGTTGCTCTGGTTGAAATTTGGGTGGCATGCTCAACCTCTGTTCATTGGCCTTTGCCATGACCACCGTGGCTGCCACTGAAGCATCTAAAGATTACAGAACTCTAAAGATTACAGAACTCCTGTTCAAAATTTACAGATCTCATTTAATTGTTTAAAATTTGTTTTCACATAAAAAATCTGTTCTCATCACAGATAAGTGAAATGCACAAGATCTCGTAACTTGTCACTGGACAAAAGACACTAAGGTTTCTATTCAACAAATGTTTACTAAAAGTCCGCTATATTCAAGCTTCTGTACAAAAACAAAAATGAGAAATGGTCTTTTGTTTCACAGATCAGATAAAACAGAGCGCACGTTGAAACTACATATAAAAGAAAAGAAAGAAAAAGTTGTTGAAAAATAAAAACCATAGTGAATCAGTAAAACATCTGTACATTAGAAGACATTTCTTTTTGGAATATAAGAAATTTACTTTGCATTTAATGATATTTGATTTCTCCTCTAGCCACCCCTGCTCTGACATATTTGTCTACTTAAAATTTTATAAGATGCTCATATCTGGAAGAGAGAAATAAAATCTGGTCAGCCTTAGAGTCTAAAATTGACAGATCCGGAAAGAGAGAGTGTGTGTGTGTGTAGAAGGAGAGAGAGTTTCTTGACTATAAGGCCTATAAACAAGGTTCTAAGACATTTAGTAATAAAGGAAATTATGAAGTATTTGGGGGTGGGAAATAAGAGACACCCACTGTCTTTTACTGGAGGGCCTCACTAGAAAAAAAAATGAGATCAACGTGTTGGTGCACGTAATCACTTCACCATGAAATTCCTACTGGTCTCCTTGCTAGCAAACTGATGTGAGGTGGCCTTTAGTTGGGGGATGGGGCAGGCAGGATTGGGAGAAACTGAGAAATAGCATAGAGGCTCAACTCTGAGGCATGTACATTTGAAATGGAGGCAAAGATGGGGAGAAGTTGGAGCTCGGGATAAATCCTTACTTCTGGTTTGTGTGACCTAGTGGTGATTGTTGTCATTTATTGAGGCACTCGGCTCACAATTCAATGCTCTATACACACTATAATAATATTTGTTAAAGAACTTAAACTTTAGAATAAAACAACAGTTTCTATGGTCTACATGTCACTAGGGAAGATAGGCTGGCTGTCTCTAAGACCATCAAAACAGCTCTACCAGATAGCATTGCTGTGAGTGACTTTTGTTGTACAAGGCCTGGCTCTCAATCTAATAAGATTGAGAATGGATTTGTCCTTTAGGACTTCACTAATATTAAAAAATAGCATAGAGTCTATGGCCACGCCACCCTGAGCATAACCCATCATGTCTGATCTCAGAAGCTAAGCAGGGTTGGGCCTGGTTAATACTTGGATAGAAGACCACTTAGGAAGGCCGGGTGTTGTAGGCGTAAAAATAAATAAATAAATAAATAAATAAATAAATAAATAAATAAATAAATAAATA